GTTAGCAGCCAAACACATAACCACTATGCCAGAAGGGTTCCTAGGATGGCCTTACCAGCAGGGCTCCTTCGCAGTAAGTAAAGGCTGTGCTCAATAAACTTGTAAAAAGAAGCGATCATTTTAAACTTGTACAAAGCAGAAAATCACTTTCCTCCACAAAATGTTCGTTTTAATATTATCAATCTACTAAAATTTCTGATAAAATTAACCAATTGATAGGTTATTTAGAACACAGAGAAGAACACTAAAAACCAAACATCAGTACCATAGAACCGGGACTGATTTTCACACCGTGAAACAGCTCATGTGTATATTAGTTTATTGAAAAAAAAGGAGTAGAAACCCGTGATCTAATGCTTCCTGCCAACATACAGTAGTCAGATGGATTTTCTCACCTGTTCAATAATCTGCCTCACAGTGTTTAGCCGCACCACCCCGCTGCATTTCTCGGCTCCCGCGTCTTTTGGTTCCGTTTCTGCAAGGATACAAATAAAGGAGCTAGATTGAAAATAATAACTTATAATTTATCAAGGGTTCACGAGGGTGAGAGGTGGGGAAGGGAGGGAGGGAAAAGAGAGGAGCTGGTACACCAAGGGCTAAAGTAGAAAAAAAATGTTCTGAAAGGATGATGGCAACAGATGCACAAATGTGAATGACACAGTGGATGGACAGATTGTTATAAGAGCTTAAGAGCCCCCGATAAAATGATTAACATAAAATAAGGAGCTAATTAATCTTTTCAACATTAGTTACAACCAAATGCTCCAGCAAATGGTAAAGACTCATGATAGCTGCTTAACTATGCTTAAATCTAACCCTGAGATAACTGTGAATCCAGTCTAATAAGGTATATCCTATAAGGGAATTTCTTTGGACTCTTCAAAGATAGAAAGATAGATTAGATAGATGGATAGATAGATAAGATAGATAGATAAGCATTACATAAACAACTTAAATACAGTAGGAAACTAGAAAAGACAGACAAGTCCAATGTCCTGCATGCTCTCTGGTTGCACCCTGACTTAAAAAGTAAAACTCTATAGGCTCTGTAGGATATAATTGGGACAACCAAGGAGATTTGAAAACTAAACTGCATACCAAGTAGCATTACTGTATCAATGTGAAATTTCCTTGTTTGTGACAACAGTTTTGTGATTGCATATGAGAACGTTCTTGTTCGAAGGACTGGAGGGTTCAAGGCTGACACATCGTGATGTCAAATGACTCAGGAGAAAATTTTAACAGAGGGGAGAGAGAGACAGAAGAGAGAGAGAGAAGCTATAAATAGCAAACTGTTGACAACCAGTGTCAAAGGCTTTGTAGATATTCACTATTCAAAATAAAACTTGGGGGTGAAAAAATACCATCCGTGCTAGACTTACTAGCTGTCTGAAACAGGTTGGGTAATTCATTGGCCAGCTTTTCCATTGCTATGTCTGCGATGGGGCCAAATAGGACCACGGGTCTCTTGAAACCGGCTGAAAGGAAGCAAGACACATCACTGAGACACACACGGGAAGCAAAAGGATTTCGCTGGAATTTTTTTTTTTTTTTTAATCGTGGTACCACACACATAACACTGGCCACTAAGGACACTTCCGATGTTCTACAGCCTCCATCATGATCTAGTGCTACGACATCCTCATCACCCTTGAAGGAAACCTGATGGGTCCCCACCCCGGTGCCTGGAAACCAGTCGCGTGTCTCGTCGCTCCACAGATCGACCTGCTGCGTGGATTTCATAGAAATGGAATCAGACAGTATGTAAGAGTTTGTGTCTGGCTTCGTCCACGTAGCATAAGGTTTCGCAGGCTCAACCACGCTATCTCATGAAGCAGCACTCCTTCTTTCATGGCTGCCTAAGAGTTTGTTCCATGGCTCTAGTATGTATTTATTGCTTGGTCGGTTGATAGGCATTTAGACTGTGTCCATTTGGGGGCTACCATGCATATGCCATGAACACTGATGTGCACGTTTTTGTTAGAATATCTGTTTTCCTTAGGGCTGTACATTCCCAGGAGTGGAACTGCTGCAGTGTATGGTAATTCTACAGAATCCGTAGGCAGTATAAACGGCTAGGCATTCCAGCAGGAACCAAACAGCTGGTGGTTCAAAGCCACTTAGAGGCACGTGGGCAGATGGGCCTGATGACCACCTTCTGAAAGGTCCCAGCCTCTAAAACCCCATGGAGCTGCTCTCTTCTGCACACGGGGGTCGCCAGGAGTCAGAACAGACTGCGATGAACAACGATGGCACGTCTACATCTCGTTTCCTGGGGGACCTCTCACCAGCTCTTGGCAATGACACCGGGCCGTGACAAGACAAGATGCAACACCCCTCTCCCGATGCCACTCAGCTCTTTTCTGGGGAATATGCTGCCTCCTCGGCCACCTTCTAGGATACACTGGTCTATGAGTAAGGCGCAGAAACTTTTGCATGAAGATACCACTAACTGTAATGTCGGCGGTTCAAACCCACCAGCTGCTCTGCAAGAAAAAGAGGCGCTGTCTGCACCCGAAGAAACTGACAACATCGGAAACACTACATGAGGCCGTTATGAGTTTGCATGAGGCCCGTGGGTTCGGATGGGTGGCTTTTTGAAGGATAACAGTGAATTCTTTTTGTTTTTAGGTTGCAGAGAGACTTTACAGCTGAAGACTTTACAATTTAATTGTTACAGTTTCAACAATGCATCCTCCTGAGTCTCTTTTCTGGTTTGAATATGATTCGATCTCCATCGCCTGATGCTAGCCCGGTTAAGTCAGGACCCTGACAGTTACAGTCTAAGAGCGGACAGCGACAGGCTCTGAGCCCAGGCAGGGCATCCCCAGGCCTGGCGTGGCTCACCTTCTCGCAGCAAAACCCTCTCGTAAGCTGGGAACTTGGTGCTGACGGACACGGCCGCTGTGAGGTCCTCTCGGCTCTTCCGCAGGTTTTTCTTCAGGCCGGACCGCTGACCACGCATCCTCCAGAAATCTGCCCTGTCCCCGGCGTTGTCTCTCTGGGCGTTCTGAACACTGGCCATCTGCTCCGCTCTGAGAGAAGACGTCGCAAGGGAGTCAATCTCAAGACCCAGAAGAGGAGGCGAAGTGTGCCAGGCAGCAAATCCTGGTACCATGACCGAAGGACTAAGGCCAGGGACGACCTGACTGGACAGTGAGCAGGCTGCGTGTGATGGGAAACATGGGAGCCTTTACTCCCAGCCAGAGGCCGAAAGAAGTGGGGGGTCTTGATCAAACTCATCAGAAATCGCTCAAAGTTAACACAAAGGAAACACACATCGAGAGGTCCTACCAAAGATGAGGTTACCTTCCTAGAGGTTGCTATTGTCCACCGGCATGTTTACTGAGGGGCATGAGCCTCTCCAGGGGATGAGAGCTGGACGCCCCACCAGGCTGTACATTCCATGGGTCTGTTGTGGCCAATCAGTGCCTGTCTCGTACCCACATAAGGCAGCAGACACGCCTTAGGAGGTGGCCACGTCAGCGTCAGCCACTTTCAACAGCCAACCACGTGAGGCTGAACACGCACAGCACATCAGCTGGTGGGCCCTCTACATATCTTTTCACAATAGATTTTATTTATTCATTTTATGAAAACAGACACCGCACAGGAGCCCGGGAGTGCAGTGCAATAAGCATAACGTTACTAACCCAAGGGCCAATGGTCTGAACCTAGCCAGCGGCTCCAGGGAGAAAGAGGTGACCATCTGTATCGGTGAAGATTTACAGTCTCAGAAACCCTACGGGCAGGTCTACTCTGTCCTATCCAGTCACTATGAGTAGGGGTCATAGCTGGGCAGCAGTGAGTTGGGTATTTCTGGTGTTTACACAGCAAAGCCCCTTCCCTTTCTTCCGGTTTCTATGTGTGCTGTTCGGTGCCAGGGGTTACAACCCTCCCTGTATGTGAACACCTGGTACTTCCTGTCCCAGCTGCTTCACTCCCCTTGACTCAGGCTCCCTGTCTCCCGAAACGCCTCACCTCTGCCCTAGAGCAACTGTGGTCCATTTGGCCTTAGGGCACAGTTTGTCTTTTAAAGAGCCCAGCACTCAAGGACAACCAACTTTACTCTGAGCCAAAAGGTTCATTTGCAGGTAGCTTCTGGGGATAGCTCTGATTCAAGAGCATCTCAGAGCAAGAGTCTTGGGGACTCCTGCAGCCTCAGTGAGTTCAATAAGTCTGGCTGCTTTAAGAAACTGGTGGGTATTTGAAACTTCTGGCCATCCTGTCGGGAAACAAGAGGTACCTGAAAACCTAAGGGCTTACTCTGTGTGTGTGTGGGGGGGTAAGTGTGTGTGTGGGTATGTGTGGGTGGGTGGGTGTGTGGTGTTTGGTGTGTGTGTGTGTGTGTGTGTGGTGTGTGGGTGGGTGTGTCTGTGTGTGGTGTGTGGTGTGTGTGGGTGGGTGTGTCTGTGTGTGTGTGTGTGCGTGTGTTTGGGGGCGGGGGTGGATATATTGTTTTATAGGAGGGACAGACAGGTGTGGGAGCCCGGGTACATGAAAACCTAAGGGCTTACATTGTGTGTGTGTGTGTGTTTGGGGGCGGGGCTGCATATGTTGTTTTACAGGAGGGACAGACAGGGGTGGGAGCCCGGGATTGCAGATACCTGCTCTTGTTTGGGATCAAGCCTTTGTGTGTGTGTGTGTGTGTGGTGTGTGTGTGTG